AAAATCGCCCAACTGTTGCTTCAACTTTTGATTCTATTTCAGAAGGCCCAAGCACTCAATCACCTGCCAGTTCATCTTATGACTATACCACCGTTGGATCATCAGAGGTTGTAGATCAATCTACTTCTCAAACATCCAGTCAAAATTCAACCCCTAGTTCTTCAGCCGAATCTGGCTCAATCCGAAATTCAGATTCAGATTCACAGTCTTATAGCCCAGTAACTCAACAATCAGGTGAAGTGTCAATAGATGTGACCGTTGGATCAGTTGATCCAGTTTCAACTGAATCTAGTAGCCAAGCTACCCAAACATCTTCACAGTCATTTAGCAATGTATCAATCTCTGTTGCAGCTTCATCTGAAGGTGTTGCACCTACGACTCAGGCAACTTCTAGTACCCCTGATGGTAACACAGTTGTTGTAATAATAGCTTCAAATGATAATGACTCTGTTTCTTCTGGTACATCATCACAATCTTCATCTTATGCAACTAATAGTCAGATATCTCAAGCATCCAACTCAACAGTTACACCTCTTAATGAAGATTTAGGTCCAGCTTTTACAACATCTAGTGAATCATTGTCTGATGAAATTGCTTTTGAATTTTCAACTGATTCTTACATAGATGCTACTGTCGGATCATCAGCCTCATCTGCAACTAGCAATATATCAATCTCAGTTTCAACTTCATCTGAGGGTAATGAACCAACAACTCAGGCAACTTCTAGTACATCTGATGGGAATACCGTTGTCGTAATAGTGACCACAAATGATAATGACTCTGCTTCATCTGGTACTCCATCACAAACTTCAAATCAGCAAACTAGCTCAAGTTCGTCGTCTGCAACTATTAATCAAGTATCTCAAGAGTCAAACTCAACTGTTGATCCTATTTCAGAAGTTCAAAGCACTCAATCTTCTTCCAGTTCATCTTATGCCGATACTACCGTTGGATCTTCTGAGGTTGTAAATCAATCTACTCCTCAAACATCCAGTCAGAGTTCAACACCTAGTTCTTCGGCTGAATCTGATTCAATCAGGGTGTCAGATCAAGAGTCTTATAACGCAGTTACTCAACAATCAGGTGAAATATCTGTAGATGTAACTGTTGGATCAATTGTTCCAGTTTCAACTGAAACTAGTAGCCAAGCTACCCAATCAACCTCGCAGTCATCCAGCAATGTATCAGTTTCAGTTTCAACTGAAGATGACGAACCTACAACTTCAAGTCCCTCTGATGGAAACACAGTGGTCGTAATCGTGACCACAAATGAGAGTGACTCTGCTTCATCTGGTACTCCATCACAATCTGCAAATCAGCAAACCAGTTCTAGTTCATCGTCTGTAACTAATAATCAAGCATCTCAAGAAAATCGCCCAACTGTTGCTTCTCTTTATGTAGATTCAACTGTTGGCTCTGCGGTTACCGAAAATCAATCCGTATCTCAAACATCAACATCTAGTTTGGAGTATAGCACACAAGCTTCATCTCAGGAATCTGGCGAAATTCGTACCTCAGATTCAGAGTCCAGTAACCCAGTTTCTCAACAATCAAGTGAAGTATCAATAGATGTAACTGTTGGATCAGTTGATTCAGTCGCGACAGAAACCAGTAGCCAAGCTTCGCAAACACCTTCACAATCGTCCAGCAATGTATCAGTCTCAGTTCCAATCACATCTGAAGGTAACGAACCTACGACTTCTAATACGTCTGATGGTAACACCGTTGTGATAGTCACCACAAATGATAATGACTCTGGTTCAGCTGTAACATCATCTCAATCTTCAAGTAATCAAAATGTTCCGTCTCTTAATGAACATCCAACTGAGAGTCAAGATCTTACAGCATCTAGTGAATCGTTGTCAGATGAAATCGATTTTGAATTTTCAACTGATTCTTATGAAGAAGTAACCGTCGGATCATCGGCCTCATCTGCAACTAGCAACTACGAATCACAATCATCTAACCATGAATCAGTCTCATTTACAGCTACAACTCAAAGTAACGAACCTACAACTTCTAATTCAGCTGATGGTAACACAGTGGTCGTAGTCGTGGCAACAAATCAGAATGACTCTGCTTCATCTGGTACTCCATCACAATCTGCAAATCAGCAAACAAGTTCTAGTTCTTCGTCTGCGACTAACAGTCAAGCATCTCAAGAGTCAAACCCAACTGTTGCTTCTCTTTATGAAGATTCAATTGTTGGCTCTGCGGTTACCGAAAACCAATCCGTATC